AAAAAATAATACCTTTCGCTGGTTCTTTGTTTATTTACTTGCGAAACCACAACAAAATATTTACACCGACGCGCACCTAAATTTAAACAAAATTTGAACAAAATGGCAGATAGTCTATGGATGAACAGTGTTGCCAGTGAACAAAATAAACTACCAATCTAAAAATAAAATAAAAACTACTACTAAATTGGAATTACGAGGGGGTGCCCATGTCTCCCGACTAACCATCCCTCCCCTAACTCCCCTATAGTTATGCACATTATTTAGAATTAGTCGGTTACCTTCCTTTTCCACCTGTTATCATTGATCGAAAGGCTCTAAACACTCGTTAATAATAACTTCTTAGATTCTACCAAGAAGAATAATTACAGCTTCTCAAATTTGCGTTAGCTGTAACATTACTAAATGTTCTAATAATGTTTTTGCTCATCTTTGTCTGGTAGTTCCATGTTTAAACTGAAAAACTGTTATAAAAGCACATTGTTTTAATTCATTTTAAAGCCAAACACTAATATAACTCATCATGAGCAACGATATTTTATACTCAGTTATGTGCAATTTGTGATTAATACGAAGATCGTCTCGCTTAATTTGCTTCCGTCAGAAAATTTTTTCCTATAAAATAACATCAGTAATAAGATGATAAGCAAGGAGTGAACACAATTTGTGATATTGCTAATAAAAGAGCATCTGTGAGTAATTTTGTGCCAGCAGCGGAAACATCACAAAGCTATGGTTCTTCTTTCAATACCACTATCGACCAACACAGAAAGGGCATGTACGCAGTTGAATAATGTTGAAATTAGGTGCACCGTAAAAGTGTATTGCGGTTCGCTACGTAGTGTTACAGCTTCCACTGTAAACACAGGATAAGTCCTTGTAGTGCGGTTTGTTTGCACATCAGTCTGCTTACTGTTAAATGTTGTTCATTCCAAGTGTAGACAAACTTTATAATTTCCTGTTGTAGTGCAGTTTAAAATTATTAAAGTGTAAATTAATGTAAAGAACGTTTAATTTAGTTAGACGGATAAGAACCGAAGGCTTGTTAAAATATATGTCTTTTAGTAATTGGGAAATAAATACCGGAGGGCTTTGATACGACGCTAAATGGTTGTCTAATCAATAGCTTACAACGTTCACGATGACAGTCCAAAAGATCTGTTTGGAAATGCAAATGCGCTGATGGGAGGAATTTAATCAAATTTGAAATTTATTGTCAGCTTTAAGGGACAGATTTAGATGAATTTTTCATTTTTTTGAGCACTTGAAATTATCGATTTTCTTTCGTTTCACTCTTAAGTGACTCTTAGCATAATGAATTTTATATAATGCAGGAATCATATCTGACCAAGGTCAGACATGACACCTTTGTTAAAATGTAAATTGGAAATTGCAGATGAAATAATTGAATCGTTTAGTTTCCTAATAAGCTTAAAATAGCCATCGATCAACTACGTGTATATTTCCACTAAAGTGAATCAACTCAACATACTAACAAATACGATTTCGAATTTAACTTAAAAATTACTTTAAAAAATTCAATCAATATAGCTATTTCTGTTGTTTCTCGTCGGATCTTTTGTTTCTTTGAAGTGTGTCTCATTGTACCTACTTACACGTACCGCAAATGTGAATGCGTATTGTATACAAGGTGATTCTTTTAGGGCCTACATTAGAAACTTTTTAACTTCTAATGCAGATAGGAATTTGCAATTTTGTGCCCAACCCAAATCAACCAGTCTGAGTTCAACTAAATTATTTTCAAAATGGCTGAACTTCCGGAACTATGAGAAATTGGCGCCAACTTTGAAATTTTAAATGGTACCCACTTATTTTTATTGCATTTTTGAATTCTCCTCTTTAAACTATGTAAAATGTACCTAGTTGTTAGTACTTATCTGTCATAGTTTTTGACATATGTCAATTTTTTGGTTACAATTTTCACTTGCAGGGGTTCATTCAAAACATCACAGCTCTTGAACCCTTTGCGATAAGTGAATATTTTTTTTTGCATTCGATAACCAAAGGTTCGAAGAGTTTTCTAGAATTTTCATAATTGTCTACTGTCAAATTGCAAGGCTAGTATGATTTTTTGAAAATGATTATTAACAAACAGCTATAACTCAGTTTTTTCAAATGAAATGACTATTTTCTCAACGGCAATCAAAAGTATATCAATTTCTAGAAGGACTTTTATTAACATGTCCTATACCTATCTCTTACAGTTTTTGAAATAATCACAAAAAACATGTTAATGTTTTTATTTTTATAGTTAATCACGTAGGCTTTGGAAAAATACAATAAAGATATACCATAATTAATACAGATGTTCGATATGTTTACCATTTTCAAACAGTCCAAAACTCGATGGTGAACTAATTTGAGTGGCTTCCATTATTTCATTTGGTTGAAGATTATTAAATGCCGCCTCAATCCTTGCCTCAATTCTTCGCAATTCCGGATGGGTGTTGTGTAGACTAAAAATCTTTAATACGTATTGATCATTTTCCAAAGCCTACGTGATTTACTATAARAATAAAAAACAAAAACACGTTTTTCGTGTTTATTTCACAAACTTTAAGAGATGGATATAGGACATGTTGATAAAAGTCCTTCTACAAATCGATGTACTTTCGATTGCCGTTGAGAAAATGGGGTCATTTTATTTGAAAAAACTGAGTTATAGCTGTTTGTTAAATATCATTTTCAAAAAATCATATAAGCTTTGCAATTTGACAGTTGTCAATTTTAAAAATTTTGGGAAACTCTTCGAACCTTTGGTTATCGAATGCAAGAAAAATTATTCACTTATCGCAAACGGTTCAAGAGCTGTGATGTTTTTAATTAACCTCTGCAAATAAAAATTTTGACCAAAAAATTGACATATGTCAAAAACTATGACAGATAAGTACTAACAACTAAGTACATTTTACTCAGTTTGAAAAGGAGAATTCAAAAATGCAATAAAAATAAGTGGTTACTATTTAAAATTTTAAAGTTGGCGCCAATTTCTCGTATTTCCGGAAGTTCAGCCATTTTGAAAATAATTTAATTGAACTTAGACTGGTCGATTTAAGTTGTGTACAAAATTTCAAATTTCTATCTGCATTAGAAGTTAAAGAGTTTCTAATATAGGTCCTAAAAGAATCACCTTGTATATGTTATTGTAATCAGACATCTTTTTTCAAATTGATCAATAATTCGAACCTATAGAGGATTCGTAAATTAAATAAAATGAAACAATAAAACTAGTACGTATTGTTAGGAGAGTGTTCTTTGTAGAGTCAATCGGTAGTAAAATCAGTTTAGTTTTTGAGTGAACACAAACCTTACGTCTAACAGAACATTGGCAACGTTCCAAATCAGAAAATGCATACACAGTCTCAGGTTTAAAATTTTATTAAACGACTTTCTGGAAAATGGTTTTGTAAAATAGGTTATTACTTTTCGTGCTTTAAAGTTAGTTTAATATACAAAAGTTTCACGGTTTACACTTGCTAACCCGGCACCTCCACCATTTCGTCGCATACTGGAGAAATAAAATGAAGCAAAATTTAGAATTTGTAAATTAAAAAAATTTTTTTTTAGATGTGTAAAGTAAAATAAACCATCCAGATATACGAAACGATATACGAAAATTTTGAAAGGAAGTATCAATATCGATAAGAGGATTAACTTTGGTGTTTAGCGAGCAGGAAAACAAATCGAATAACCTATTAGATTAGCACTCGCCATGTGGAAACGATTCAATAAGATTGAGGAATTTTCGAGAACAGAACTGTGCTCGGAAATTCATGCCTTGTCCTACCTCAAAGTGATTAATGTAGTTCTATAAAACGATTTAATTTCCATTAAATTATTATAAAGCCGTTTGTCATTTCAAACTATTTTTTTATTAAGGATTTTTTTATTGTGCTTTAGAAAATGAATTAGTGGTGAAGTGGTGTTAAACTATATAACGAGCTTTTTTTTTTAATTTGGCTTCTTAGTTGGCGGTGACTATGAGTTTGTTGTGAACGGACCAATTTTTAATACAATTTAACTTTAATTTACGATTGCATTGTTTTGAGTATTATAACCTTGTCTTGACAGTTATTTTGCCAAAAATTTTGTTGTGAACATTACGCTACGTTAAAAAGTCTTTTTAAAAAGAATTTCGAATGCATTTTTATAAATTTTGACGTAATTATCTTTACGTTATTTTACTGATCTTCTACAATGTTATTTTTTAGTTGAAATGATATATGTAGTATATTTTTAGGAGTAAAAATAATGTCAAATAAGTAAAAACGCTTAGGTGCAAAAATAGAATTTTTACTCCGTGACTGAAAGGGAAACTTTTAGTTGTGACATTTAGTCATTTAGTGATTATTTTTGTGACGTTTACGGATAAAAGCAATTTTGATTCACTTTATTATTTAAATCAAACGCAGTATCAATGTAATTAGTACTTGCATCTAAAAAAAATTCAAAAATACATCAGTGTTGATTCACTCTGTACTTATTGAATTTAAAAAATGTTGTAAAATTATTGTGAAAGTATTAAATTTTGAAAATCTGTCAGTTTTTACTAAAAAATTAAATAATATTTAATACCAAAACTACAACAATTGATACTTATTCAAATCTTGTGAGTTTCTTAATCATACTATTATTTCACTAAGGATAATAAGTGTAGCTTTTATAAGTTTTATTTCAGTATCGCTCTGTGTTTTTTAACAAGTTTCTACAAAGAGTACAAAGGTAAACACTTTTTTCTAAAAATAAATCATATTATGATAATTAATGTTTTTTTTCTTTTGAATATTTAAAAAAAATAAAAACTTAGTTTTTTGTATTATCGATTTATCTTTCAAAAATTATTTAAGACGTTTTTCAAAATAAAGACAAACTATACAGACAACAAATAATATCATCAAAATTAATTTTTGTCTTATGTTCTTTGTATACAAATAATTATTACTATTTTTTAAAAATTGTTAAATAATTTTAATTTTCAGCTTAAAGACTGGCGTCGAATTCAAGGAATTTGATGAAGGGTCGGCACCAGTTTCGCAGGCGGTTTAGCTTGCAACCTTCGTTCTTGAAAGAGGAGCCTGACGAAGATAAACGTTTACACAATTCTAGGTATGCAAATATTTCGTAATTTTTTTCTTACTAATAGCTTGGTAAAAATCCTATTTAACAATGTGAAAATGAAATTTGCCAAACATTTATTCTACTACGTCTAAGCTTGTAAATATAGAGTAAGTCAATATATTTATAAATAACACAATGCTATTTTAAATAGGAATGCAACAAGTGGTGACAACAATGAAGCTTTAAAAGATCACATTCCATTCTGAAAGCAACAACGTGGTGGACTAATATCGTATGATATTAAAAATTGAATCCGCTTTTCCGAGACCTACAAAACTTTTCCTTAAATTGTTTAAGTGGCAGAATTTATAGTACCTACAAGACATTTTTTATTCAAAAGGTGTATTTTGTGATTTTGTTTACCTCATTTTATATTTAAATTAAATTTTCAAATTTTTCCTCAACATTTCTGTGTAAGCCGAGTAAAACCAAAGATAAATATTTGCACATAATGCGAGAGTATTTGTCCAAGTCTCCCCAAACCTACACAAAAATTACCAATCGATTATTGAAATTGGGGGAATAAAAAATATTTTATAGCAAGTCTCGTAAATTTTTTTGCACCCGCTGACGTCAACTTTTTATTTCCTTCACTCTCCTCATCTAACAATACGATTGGATCAGTAATCCCATCTGTCTCTTCGCCTTCTGCGCTACACAAGTATCAATTTTAAGTAGTCGTATATTGCAGTTTTACAGGAAATAAGACAAAAGCATTCCAACCTGCCACTTGCTTTCAACAATTTCTATTTTTTAAGAGAAAAGATTTCATGAGGTGACATCTAATAACAAACCAATAAGCTATTTTCTATAGATCTTTCCACTGTCTAAATCCACTGATGTAGCCCGGTGACAACGCAAGTTATCAGCGAGGTAATTTATTTAGGCCGACGTATATAGGCCAAGTAATTTATGTTTGTTTGCACCGTACAATTTAAATGTAAATTAATTTTCGTCTTTGCTAGATATCTATTTTTGAGCTTGCCCTAAGCTGGAATAAATCGCTGTTTCCCGAGAAATTCATTTATCTAACACATTTTCAACATTCATAATTTTAATTCACTTTATATTTATTCAAAACTGAGCCAGAAAATGGCTTAGCTGTTTTGAAGAGAATGCTTGCCCTACCTACATCAAGCTGAAATAAATCGCTGTTTCTTTAGAAATTCACATTTTTCTAACACATTCTCAACATTAATAATATTTATTCACTTTATATTTATTCAAAACTGAGCCAGAAAATGGCTTAGCTGTTTTGAATCTCGGAGGCAGTCAAGTTCAGTTTCAAAGAAATTTTATAATACACGAGTGCACTGCTACAACTTAATAACTTCAATTTTTTATTGAGCATTTTCCGCTTTTATGGCATTTTAAGCGGTGGACTAAACACATAAAAATGATTAAAATTGTCTGTACAAAGAGTAAAACAAAATTATTGGCACAATTTATGTAGCTTTTTCCTCATTCAAACTTTTTATCAACAATGCAACACACACAATATACTGAAATATAAAAATTTCATTTGCACGTAGAGTGCTGAGTGAATACTTAGAAATTATTTTATGAATAAAAGATGATTTATTAGGGCTAATTGTAGCTAAAATACATTATGTCTATTTTAATCATATTGTTAGTCAATTTTATAAATAAAATTATGTTTTTAAAGACTTTAAAAATTGACAAAAATTAATATGGAAGAGTGTAGCGTCTTGTGATGTTAAACACCTTTTTTTTTTTAAATGCATACAGTAGCTCTTTGTTTTCTTGTACATGATGCTGGTCAAATCAATTTACATTTTTTTGTGTTGTAAATGTTACATGAAAATAAACGAAGATTGAAATCAAAATAAGCATTTTTTTTAATGAGAAATAAATATGTCTTTTTGTTTGACTCTGCGTACCTTATGGCCGGTTCAGTAGTATCTTGTTGCATTTTACATAGGATTCTATTGTCCTTTTAACATTTTTTATTGTACAAATTTTTTTCATCTGTTTTTGGGAAAAATTTATTAACCTCTCTTTGTTTATTTAAAAACACTACTAAATTTACTTACGATTAAGATTTATTTTTAAATGAATGTGGAATTTACAGTTGCAAATAAATAAAACAAAAAAGTGTAAGGGGCTCATTGTTGACCACCAATCGCTAAAAATGAAATTATTTTTATCTGTTGCATAATTGCATAAGAATCTCGCAACTTTTTTATGTAAGCAAAAGTTACTTTTTCGGCTGCACTTTTTGGTGCCTCCTGCACTTGACATTTTTCTCTGGGGCGTCAGAAACAGCCTGTAGAATGGATTATTTTATTTTCGTAAACAAGTGTAATTAAACAATAAAAAAACTAATGAAAATATTTGAATTAAAATTTCTTAAACACCTATTTACGAGTAAAAAAGTAACATCATTCATGTCACTATAAAGGCTATTTTTTATTTAAACGGAAATCCATTTTATTGAATTTTCTAGTGCTACTAATACTAAACAAACAGACTAATTTAGCAAATGTGGTGTTAACAGTGTAACTGCGTTATGCAACTTTGGTTTGGTTGTATTAGCAAAATTACGACCACACGTTATTAATTAGAATCAAACATCTTTATTAATTAATTTTGGATTCTGACTATATTCTCTTCCGGTAGCTGCTGCAGCCAAACTGTAATAGGATTAACAGAATTGTAGATTATTGATCTTTGCTACTGTAATTTTCTATCTAATGATTAATTTTGTTTATCAAAAAAGGGAATGCGAGTGAATTGAATCGTAATGAAAACGAGTTCAGAGTGTTTTTTCCGGTGAGCTCTTGAGGATGTAACGAGACTATGGAAAACCAGGATATAGGCGGAAGTTCATCTCAGAACTTTCGTGATGAGAAAAAGTAAGCAAGACCAGGCGCGATGCGTCTTCCTGCACGAACATTTTCTCAATTAATCGGGTTTTTATCTCCCCCTTTTTACCCTTGTTCTTATGTAAATAAATGAAACTAAAAATTTTGATATTATTTTGCCCTTCTGCTGCAAAATAGCGGCTTGAAATTTTCATTTTATTTTTCGAGATTTTTAAATAGAAGGTTATTATTTGTAATTTTTTACAGTTTTTGCAGATTTTTGCTGCTTCGTAAAGAATGAAACTAGTGTTTCGCACAATTTTAAACTTATTTGTGCACAAGTTTTGAATCTTGGTTCATACAGTTGACCGCTTTTACCATTGTATTTATACAATAATAGTTCTATTTAACTGTGAACGTTATGGCCAGCGATGTGTGAAATAAGACTTCTCAAGAGATTAGAACATTTATCTCTAGTTGAAGGGAGTAATATCACCTAATATGACTCTCTGGACAAAAAAGTCACAAGGGACTGAAAGAATATTTAGTATCTGCTTTGATATACGAGCAGATTACGTTTTTATTAAGGATCGATTAAACATTTTTGACTTAATATTCATGATGCAAAGTAAAATTAGTTAGGTGTAGGTGTATGGGTGAAATAACAAATGATTTATCTTTATAAAAAACTTGTTTGTATGCAGTTTTGTTACCCGCTCATAGAACACAATTTTAATCACACTTCTTCCTTGAATAATTTATTTGAGCACCAACACACACATCTGTGTAAAATAATGAATAGAAAATGCAAAAATTAATAATAAAATGAATCAGAAAAAAAGGGGGAAATTAAATAATATGTAGACATACTCTCATGATATATGAGGAAAATAGGAATGGAATTGGATTTTTTTAAATCTTATAAAGTACACGAGCACACATAATACGAAATTGTAACTTTTGTTAGGAAAATAACATTTTAACTTAGCCATTGTAAACTTGTTTTAGCTCTTACTGAAATAAATTATTTTAATTAAATTTAGTACATTAAAATGAATTCATTTTATTTCAAATAGCCCACGTTTGTAATAACTGAATTAGGAACACTTTTTAGCAGCTGTTTCCAACACTGTTATAACCTGTTATGATGAATATTTAAACTGTTAATTAAAAAATTATTTTTTTAATAAATAATCAAATGTTATGTGATTTATGTATGGCAAACCAAAGAATATTTCACAACGATAATTAACTAACATTGAAAAACTTATACCCAGTAATATCGATAATAAATTTCCTAGATATTACAATTTTTACACTTGTTTTGAAAATGGCAATTTTCATTATCACCTTTTTGTCACAAGAAAAAATTACAGTTCAACTGTTTTCCATTTTTGAGACTTGAATTAATTGCTTGGGTTTTACAAATTATCTGAAATTTTCTGATCTCGTTTTCTGTCAAGCTTTATTTTTTTTAATTCTACTTTTCATGAATAATCTCGTACGTTTCTAAAATTTTTCAGATAAGTTGTGTTTGTGTATAAAACATTAATAATGCAACTTTTTAAAACCAACATTGCTTTTAAACTACATTAATAATTATAGTAATTTTGAATTACTTTTAAACAAATGCAATTTGATTTGCTCTCCTGTTACTTCCAGTAATTAATTCGTTTTGTACATTATTTGTAAAACATTTTTAATTAAAAATCCTTTTTCTGACATCTTTATTAAACCAAATAAACATATTGAAACTTTTGCTTTTGGTTGTCTTGTTTGCCAACTGGAACACAAGTTTAATCAGAACATAACGTAGTCACTTTATTTTAATGAAATGAATCACTGAAAGCAATTTTTCTGTCAACGCTCTAAAATTTAACTTGTCCGTTTTAATACAATGTTCTAAACAAATACGTAGCGACTAAAAGCCAGTACTTAAAAAAACGATTGAAACAAACTGGATTCTAAAGTACTTAAACTGTAAAATCATAAAGCCAAACAAAGATAGGAATTTTGCATGTCTCAACTTGGATAATTTTTATATCAATAGCATCTTGAAACCCAGAGCAAACTTTATAATGATAAAGCCAAACGAGTAACTTAATTAAGAAGGTCAGAAATGGCGCTTGAATACGTAATACTCCCTTGAATTATTGATGATATGATTTACTAAATGTTTATAGTTTTAGAAGGATTTCAGTGTTATTGTTTCCATAATTAATAAACAAGTCAAAAGATTAAAATTGCTTAAATCAATTTTTCTGATCTTTTATTTTACTTTGAATTTGAATGAAATAAAGTATGCAAATCTCGACAGTCATTTAATTTTAATTTGCCATTTGCCAAAAGATGGAAAACGGAAAAACCCGACTTATGGAGTCACAAGTTTTAAGCCCACATGCATGCAAGTTAAACTTTGGAACAGGATTTGGAAGCAGGAAATATAAAGTAGATGATCCACTTTTGTGTTACAATTAGAAATTTCTTGAAGTTTATTTAAAAAATAAGTGTGTTTTAATGTTTTATTGGTGTGACAGTTTGACAATACTGTTTAGGGTTCTCAGGTCACAAAAAAGTGAAGATGTGGAGTCGTTGGAAAAGGAGGACAGTGTGGGTCCTGTCAACAGCGTTCGCCATAAGATAGTAGTAATGGGTGCGGCTAAAGTCGGCAAGTCTTCCATCATAACACAATTCTTATACGGAACCTTTTCTTCCAAGTACAAACGTACAGTTGAAGAAATGCATCATGGAGAATTCAACGTGTCTGTTGTTCATTTAACGTTAGACATATTAGATACTGCTGGTTCTTACGAATTTCCTGCTATGAGAGCGTTATCAATTTCTTCGGCGGATGCATTCATCTTAGTGTATGACGTGACTGACAGTTCCACATTCGAGGAAGCCAGAGCCTTAAGAGATCAAATACATGAAACTAAGGCTACGACTAATGTGCCTATCGTAGTTGTTGGGAACAAAATCGACTTAGCTGGAAACAGACAGGTAGGATTCAACATAGAATTCTATTTTTTTACAGAAATCTTAATTTTTAATTATTTATACATCGTGGAAAATAAATAAGCATTTTTACATTCAAATGTATTAGAACTCGTCAGGCGTAATAACTTTATACGTGGAAATTTTTCTTGTTTCCTTTATTAGATATTTATCGTAAAAATTTGTTTATACATAATTTGATAACAATTTAAATATGCTGTTTTAAAATGACAAATGACTTAGCTTGTTTTTTTTACTATATGAAATTATCCCGGCGCATCCACCATTTTTATCACTAGATTGAAATTTTAAAATTAAAATTTTATTTAAATGTAGCTATTTAAATTTCTTGCTATTTAATATTCAAATTGATCATAAAACGTGTAATAAAATATACTTTTTCCAAATCTTATTATCCGACTCCTGTAAAAGCTTACTTAAATATATAAGTAATAACGGGTGTTGTTTTTTTTAATTTGGCCACAAAGCTATCCATGAAAGTTTGATTGTGAACAAACCATCGTAACAAATAGTAGATTATGTTATAAGGAGTAAAAGTGATTGTTTATGTGACGAAGCTGACCGTTCATTTTGCCGAACGGAGTGAGACAAATGGATTCAGCTGAGCCACATAAACTCACTTTTACTCCAAATAACATATACTATTTTATCTGCAAACGATTCAGATGCAACGAAAAGAGCAACACACCAATAATCAAGTAAATCACCTCAATAATCAGGACGCTTTGCAATAAAATCATAACAAACGTCACGCGTCAGTTTCGGAATTTGTGTTGAGATTTCGAAAGTGTTGATTGATTTAACTGGTGAATAACTGGTGTAGTTTATAGTGCAAAATGTTGAATGCTGATAATCTACCTTGTACCTCTCCAGAAAATGCTGAAAAAGCGAAAGAGACAAGAAAGAGACAACAGTGGTAAATGTCAAAGTAAGTGTCAAGTAAAAGTGAAAACGCCTAGGCGTAAAAACAATGTTTTTACTTCATGTCTGAAAAGTAAAACTTTTAAAGTCTGTTTTTTTTAATGGAAATGCCAAACAGTCTTAACGTTGGCATCACTAGTAAATGCATTCATGGTAATTTTAATAAAGGAAGTTGGCAGTTTCGGTTTTTTGAATTAATTTGAAAACAATGTCATTAAATGTCAACACAAAAAATCGTCTAAGAAAATATAGAGACGAAACACCAAAAAAGGAACAAATTCGGTACCGCTAACATCAAAACATAATTTTTTACAAAATTTCTAAAGACAAAAACAAAGAGCAAACAAAATTTGTGGCTATGGAGACAACCTGCTACCAATTTTTTCACCAAAATTTTGACTTGGTAATTTCCATTTAAAAAAAAACAGACTTTACCTGTGTCATTTAGTCATAAAAGTGGTCACTTTTGTGACGTTTGCGGATAAAAATGATTAATCTGACTTTTGACACCTCGTCGAGAGTATTAAAAATTATGGTTCGTTCACCACACGTTCAAATCACCACGAACTATGACGCTAAATTTAAATAAACACCCATATAACACTATCAATACGTTTATTCAAACTCATTTCAAGTATTTTTTAAGGTTTAATGTTCTTAGAGAAAAATTCACTAATTTTTATTGTTTTATTGAACATAATCACAAGTGGTAAAAGGTAAAATAACTATTTTTTGCGTTGCTAAAGCAGGTTTAGAATAATTAAAATAAATAAAACAATGAATGTTAGAGATAAAATTTTCAACTTGTTTCAGACAATGTAAAAATAAAAACGATTTTTTTTTCAACAAAATAGTATTTTCTCCACATGCAAATTTCGTATATGTATGTAGAATTATCAATTAAAGTTAAACTAAAAATCAACAAACAAAAAAGGTAATCTTGTGTAAGTAAATACTGTATCGTTTACAAATTTTCTAAATTTTTGTAAATAATAACGAATTGTACAGTGGACAATAAAATAAAGACTAACAAAGTTACAGACAGAAAATGACAAGAAATGAATACAATATATTAAGTATTTCTTTATATTTGGCGTCAAAGCTATCCATGAAAGTTTAATTGTGAACGAATCATCGTTTTAAAAATTGTTAATAATATGACATTTGACATCTTGCCAGGCGTGTTAAGAATTGTGGTCTGTTCAGAACACACTTACAGTCGTCACCGCCAACTGTAATGCCAAATTTTAAAAAACACCCGTTATTTATATTTTTACATAGATGTAAATTAAAGACAATAATGGATACTTAACTTCCACGCAAAACAAAAGAACTATGTATTACTTTAACTTCATTAAAGTTGAAATTGCGGGAAAAGATATGGTCAGCTTAATTCGTATTATCCTTGTAATTCTAACTTTTTATAATTTGATGAAAGTGGAGTAACATAATGTCGTAGAAACCAGTTAAATGATGAAACACAAAAATCTTTAAAAACTTTTGTTTTGCGAGATGTTTTTTTAAATGTGTTTTAAAAACGTTTAAAAGTAAAAAAACTGAGAAGATCCATTATACTTGTATTACACGAATGAGTAGCGTCATACGAAAAATGTTATTACATACTATAAAATATTGCTCAATCTTTCGTACTTACTATTAAAAGTATTTGTTAGAATGGTTTCTTCGAAAAATTCTTGATGGTAAGAAGTCCATCTAAAATTATTTATTGATAGATGTTTATTAACTGAATACTTATTTTTTACGATTAAGAAAGCTATATTAGAAAGCTATATTTATTTGAAATCGGAAAAAGGTTAAATACGAGTATAAATTTAATGAAAGGCAGGAGGCACAATTTAAAGTAATTTGCTTCGATCGCATCATAAAATGGGTCTGTGCTTGTGAATCTTCTTGATCTCTTTAGGAAAGGTTTGAAATTTAATTTCATTTAAAAAAATATTGCCGACGGTTCGGTTAAAAAAAGAAACATCCGTCTATAAACCAGTTCTTGAATTTAAATCGTTTTTTCTTCCGACTGTGAGACATAAATTTAGATAATCTTGATGAAAACAGTCAGGCGTTTGAACAACGTAAACTGAAAGTTTGAAAGAAAAAGTCATTATTATAAAACTGATTTATTTTATCTCTCCTAGAAATTTTCCTAATGAGCACTGACGATGACGGTCTCCTCGTTATCTTAGTTTGTGCAAACGACAACAAAGAGTAATTAATAAATTTAATAGTCTAGTTTATGTCTAGTTATGCAAAGGTGGTTGTTGAATAAATTAGTAAGTAATGAATTGGAAAATAACTAACACAGCACATTACTCGTACCTGACTTCAAAATCCATCAAAAAATATAAATGTTATGGAAAACAAAATGTGATATTTCTTAGGTGGATACTGCAACAACTGAATCTGTCGTAACCGTCGACTGGGAGAATGGTTTTGTGGAAGCTTCGGCGAAAGAGAATATAAACATAACCAAGGTTTTCAAAGAGCTTTTAACACAAGCTAAGGTCAAATACAACCTCAGTCCGGCTTTACGACGTCGAAGGAGGCAATCTTTACCCTCACAATCGGGGCCTCCGCCATCGACGCCTTCTCACGCTGCGATGATCCCTTCGGCCGTCCAACTTCAACACTTGCAACAAATTAGAGATCGTCATGGAAAAAGAAACTCTTGTGTCATATCTTAAATATATACTAGTCGCATCGTAGCAATTCAATTTCTTTATGTACAGAAAATAATGATTGATGCCCAGATGAATCGGTTTTTGATTTTTTCAAGCAATGTTTACTGAGGGACCCACACTATCGGAAATGTTTATTTTATCTAAATTGTTGTGTGCAGTCACAAGTACCAGTTATATTTTAAAATTCCAAACTTGTACAAACTATGCATATCAAGACAATACTGCACACTAATTGTTTTCACTATTTTCAACAATTTTGAACACCAAGGGCATGGTATCATTGTTTTTATGAACATAGACCACAACTAATTCTTCCATATTTAATAACTTGATGTCTATCGATTATCTAATAAATGGTGTAAATATCTTTAAATTTAAACAACCGACATGTAACTACAGGTTTGATCAAGTGTCAATACACAAGAGTTAGTGATTTCGATCTACTTTTTTATTATGTTAATATAATAAGCGTGTGCTAAAAACACGCCACTTTCCAGGGCGTCAAGTGCAGCAATACAGTTTTTTAAAGGTTGAAGACTGTATTAAATCTAGTAAAACTTTGAAGTATAATGTAGTAGCAGAATTACATATTTTTTGAGTATATCTATATATTTTTTTAATTTTGATTAAACAGTTTAGTGCATGTTTTTATAGTTCTTAACCAAATACATGTATGTATCTCAGTACTAAGTTGTTTTTTTTTTAATAGAAATGAATATGTAGTTCTAGCTTTTGTATTTCTGTTAGTTTTAGTTACTGTATTATGTGTGACTTCAATCTTGACAATCCAGAATCAATGTATTATTAAATATAGGAAAGATGAATGTAACGCTACTTTTCATTTAATAATAAAATAATAAATCCCAAAATAACCCAACCTATCAATTATTTCCGAAATTTTCTTTCATGACAGCGTGTACAACACTTTCTAAAAAATGACTCAATTTAGAACATCTCTCCAGGATGTAATGTAATTTTTACGAAGTTTCTTTTGTCTGATGTTCCGAACAGTTGAGTTGAATGTTCATCACGCAATTTGATATTTTTTGCAGGGAAACATTTCTCGTAATTAAGTTGCTCTTTATTAACGAATCTCTAAGAAAAAAGTTACTACAAAAACCTTTTTACGTTTAATAAAAATAGTCCAATATGTTTATTTATCAATTTAACAAGATTAAAAAAAATATTTATTTTTATTTATTTCTCATTGACTCCAAAGTTTTTTAAGTAATTAAATTGTTTTCCAACTTGACTACAACAAACTATTTACAATAATAAAGGCTGATATATTTTCCCGGTTGTGGATCACTAAATATTAATAATTCACCGACTTAAACTGTAGGGTTTCTTGGGATTGGTCCTGAAAAAATATAACCCGTTCCTGAAAAATCAAAAATCCTAATAACAAATAATTTCAAATTATTCAATATTACTTATAAGAGTCGACCTGCCCCATGTAAACATTTGTAGTTTGAATGCAACGCATTCGAAGAGCTTCCTCCACATTGTTGCATTTGTTGCTCCTGAAAGCCCTTTTGTTCCTTATTGATTCGGCAAAATAATAATAAGCTCGAGCATGGTTACAAATCACACTTTCAGTAAACTTCCCTAAAGCAACATTTGCTTAATTTCTTTCGCAAATACAGAATGAAAAAATTTGCATACAGATGTCAGATATTTCAGGACAACCAGGTTGGCGCCTTCCGCCATTGGGGTAAAAATCAACATGACCAACAGGTTGTGCAAGGCTTAATACTTTCATGTATGTGTGTACGACATCGACCATTTTTGCATCATTTGCATCTAGTTTTAATTTAGCTTCTGTGTCCTTAAAACCGGGAGCTGCAGGGTCCAAACCTTACAACACAATGACAAATTTATCAATCTAGTGCAGAACCAAATTTTATTACTCCACTTCTGTCAAAGAATGTGAAGCAGTTTGCTGTACAAATGACATTTCTATTGCCTCTCCTTTCCCTCAATATGACTACAAAGGAAAGTATTGTATTTCATTGCGTGTGAAATTTGACACCGGACATTTTAACACGAGTTTTGGGTGAAGCAAGGTTACAAACGAGATACCTGTTATTCGTCCAATTTTTCCGTTTTTTACTTCATGCGCTCCAATGCCTGCCACATGCGCCCCTAAACTATGTCCAACGAGGTGGATATTATTGTAGTCTACTCCAAGTAAAGACAACCAATTGAGAAATTGCCCTAAAACTTTACCAGCTTTTCGCACTCCGCTGATGGCTGATAAGTACTCAAATTCGCAGAGAACGGACCAATCCATACCAATTACATTGTAATCACCCGAATCTAAATAAGCTGAAACTGTAATTTATTTAATCTGGATAACAATAATTGGGGTAAGAACCATTTTTGTTGACCACAAAAATGTCTTCTTCTATGCTACTTTGAAATCCATGAATAATTATTTTCACAGGATTGCTGATGTTGAATCCTGAATTTGTAAATCCATTGAGATCATTCATTCGAAGATTAAATGGAGGATGGCTCCTAAAATAATCCCACATTTTACAGTTTTTCCACTAAAATATTTAGTTTGAGGTCAGCACCTGGTGAATAAAATAAACTGTACACTGGGACCGTCTGGATCAAGCAGATTTGTGTAATTAGAATTTTCGATATTGTTTGTCTGTGATGGCATTGTGTTGTTCTTTAATTTTCCATTAGTTGCTGCTGTAAATTTGTATAAAACTGTAAATTATTATGTTGCTCAAATTTTGTTTTTTTTTAACACATCGAAGTGATATGTTTTGTGAAAAGATAATAAACCACAAACAAAAACAAGTTCTATTTACCCAATACGAGCAAAACTGCTGATGTCGCAGCTAAAGCAAAGCTTGTAAATGTAACAAGTGCACACATTTAATGAAAAAAAAATATTTTGTCGCTTTCACTACACATTGGATAGAACTGAACAATCAAAATAATGCAGGGTCCATATTTCATGCATCTGATTGTAATCATTATTCGCATTTCCGTAATTTATAGCGGAAATTTTTGTATCCGATTATAAAAGTTGGTTGATGACTGTTTTGAACTAGTTATAGTAACAATGACGGATCATTTGGTAAAAATAATAATAGTTTTTAACAAATTGTAACATGTAATTTTTAAATTATTGGGGTATTGAGGATAAACAAATTCGCAAACAGAATTTTTAATTCGATTGAAGAATGCATCAACTTTCACTGCGGAAGTTACATAAATGTATAGTGTAATTATTTTTAGATTATTTTTCACACATCTCTCTCTGTAAGCTCTGCTTATATTTTGGTTCATTTATTACAATTTAACAAATGAGCATATTATTATTATGTTTAATGTTATAAACTTTGATTTTCAACTATCGAACTTGGTGCTTTTGAAAACTTTTTAATTTAAGTAAACAAAAATTGTTTTTGAAAATTGAAGAATGTATTGAAGGTTTTTTGTTCAATTTTTATTTTTCATACTTATTTTTATACTATGTATACCTATAATTAAAATTAATTATTCTACTACACTGGCGGACACGAAACTTTCAAAAATTTTCTCATGGGCGTCCTAAACTGGAGGGTTAAGGGTAAAAAGTACCCTAACTATTTTGGCTGTTGGTTTTTGCCAATTTCAGCTACAAAATTCTAAATCTCATAGTTTTTTACAAAAAAGAGATCTCTTGAGTTTTTTCGATACAACTTACCATTTTTGAGTAAAATCAGTTTACAATAGGTGTTACAGACCATAAAGAGGACCATAAAAAATTAAAAATTAAATTTGTTTAACCGTTTAAAACACCCGTGATTAAAACTTTCGACAACTGATCTTTGAATTCGTTTAGGTGTTTAAAGGTTATCAGCTGTACCAACTTTTGTACTTTTATCTATTCTGTAATAATAAGAAAACCCCATTAAAAAACGCATGTCTTTCAGAGGGTGTAGCTCGCTTACATAACATTTTTTAATACATGTTAATAGAAAACATTTCTCTTAAAATTGAATATTCTATCACCTGTTTAAATTTGTAACAATAAAAATGGAACACCCTGTATAAAATCACGTATTGCTGGCATTATTGTTGTGGAAAATCAACGTTAAAAATAAATTTCAACTAAAACTTTCAAATTTAAGACAATAAAGCATGGTTTACATTAACATTTTTTAAACTGACATAAATTTGATGTCTAAAATTCTGTGTCCGCCACTGTATTAATTAATTAACAGAATATACGCAAATAGAGTATAGATATCTTGTTTTGTTACAGTGATATTAGAATTAATACAGCCAAACATTTTTTTTAATATCAATTTTAGCAAAATACAGTAAAAGAAATAAAATACATATTTGATGCAAGGCGGAAACTTAACAAATGAACCTCGTATAGAAAATTTATCTTACCTACAATTTCTTAGGCAACCAGTTATACACTACTAATTTAGCTGCTAAAAACTTGAACTAGCGCAAGCGCAAAAACATTGTCAATTTCATCGTCAAATCCGTCAAACGAATTGTCATCATTATTGTTAAATTCAAATTGTTCAAGAAGTGTTAAAAAGCTAAAACATGGAACTACTCACACCATACTTAGGGAGCATTCGAGTTCCCACCGCAAATAGCAAAGTGTATAAGGACGAATGCGTCTTCTCTTTCGACAATCCAGTAAGTACTCGAAAATAAACCCATAGAAAAAAATTTAGGTTATGTTCATTTCACCGAGCACAATTTTACATATTTCAGGAAACCGAGACCGGTTTGTATGTTAGTTTGAAGAGTTTCTTTGGACTCGGCCGCAATTATGTTGAGAAACACTTTCACAAAACGGGAGAAGCCGTTTATCTCCACATCCGACGAGTGCGTCGTGAAGTAAGAATTTTGCTATAAACTGCTTCAGGGCGTTCATTCACGGTATTTTTTATTAAGGTTTCATCACCCCCACAGGGCGATGGACCCGAAAAGAAAATCACGCGCTTGGCGATTGGAGTTGACGGCGGGTTTGATCCCGAGGCTATGTCAAAGAAGTTTGAATTTGAGGACACCTACAATGTTGTCATCTTGCCGGCTTTCAGCACTATTCCCTGGCCAAACGCAGAGCTTCCACAAATTGTATGTGAATAATAAATATGCATGTATAAAATACAAAGTGTGTTTAGGTAAAGTCGTCCATTGAGGGTATATTGGAAGCCCCCTCGGCGAGTAAAGTGGCCGAAATAGAAGCCCTGACGGGAACGTGGGATGGCGAAGCTAGGGTTGTCTCCCAGTTTGCCCACAATTTGCCCCAATTAGATAACGGGAAAAAGATTCCGCCATCTGGGTGGCAGTGTGAAAAATGTGATAAAACAGATAACCTTTGGCTAAACTTAACTGATGGGTCTATATTATGTGGAAGAAGGTTTTATGATGGAAGTGGAGGAAATAATCACGCTATTGAACAATTTAACTCTACTGGATACCCATTAGCTGTCAAATTAGGAACAATCACCAAGGAAGGAAAAGGCGATGTATTTAGCTACAAAGAAGATGATATGGTGGAAGACCCGAATCTGGTCCAACATTTAGCACACTGGGGTAAATTGCTAGCAAAAGTAATGTCTTATCAATTGAAATTTGTATTGCTATAATGGATTCTTCTGCTAAATGATAATGGGTTTTTTATTTTATTTTTTCTACTTAGGAATAAATATCGCAAACATGGAAAAAACCGAAAAGTCCATGGTCGAACTTGAGCTCGAATTAAACCAAAAATCGAACGAATGGTCGGCTTTACAGGAAAGCGACGGCCAACTGAAACCCATCTATGGTCCAGGATACACTGGAATGACGAACATGGGCAATTCATGTTATCTCAACAGCGTTATGCAGATGATATTCTCTATTCCAGATTTCATCCAGAAATATTACCATGAAGCTGAGTCGTTTTTCAACAACGTGGTTGGTGATCCCAGTGAAGATTTCAATGCTCAAATGTAATTAATACTTTACCATACTTTTAAATTGTAATAAAATGGTTATTTGTAAGGGCTAAATTGGGTGTTGGTCTACATTCGGGAAAATATTCTGTTCCGCCACCTGCAGGGTCTCCGGTAGACGCTGATCCTTCAGGAATTTGTCCGTTGATGTTTAAAGCTTTGGTCGGTCGGGGACATCCAGAATTTTCAACAAAAAAACAACAAGACGCCCAGGAGTTCTTCCTCCATATCCTCACTTTGTTAGAGAGGAATAACAAAAATAGAGTCAATCCCGGAGATTGTTTTAAGTTCAAGGTGGAGGAGAAGTTCCAATGTAGTGCGAGTAAGAAAGTGAAGTATTTGACGAGGTCAGATATCATTCTTCCTTTGATCATCCCAATGGATGCAGCAGTCAATAAAGATGAGGTAAAATCTTAATTTTCGAAGTAAACAGATAATTTGAAATATAGTATTGCATGTACTAAAACTAACATTGATCAATTATCGATTAAAAAACAAATTTGTTATAATATAACTAAACATTGTTTTCAAGAAACTAATTTAATTAGCAAGAAAAAAGACCAATTAAACCCGAAAAAGCATCCGACATCGAACACGAAAAAATGCTATCCCACCGTGTTTACTTTTGGTGATATAAATTTAAAGTTTTATACAAGCTAATTATCACTGAAAAAACTCACAAAAATATACGATTATTTATCAACAATTCTTTGAACAAGTGAGGCGTGTTGCTTCCGGTCCATGTTTTAAGCACTAAAAATGAATTAAATAACAACGTTATGTTAAACCAAAAAAACAGCAAAGGATCTCATATTACAATCACTTTGATATAATTATTCGTAATTAATTTGATAAAATTAACAAGTGATACAAAAACAGTTTTTGATCATTATTTTTTTACACTAAAAGCACCAAAGATCTTTCGGTTAAGAAAATAGAAAAAAAATGTATTCTGATCGTTTTTTATGATTTATCTACAAGAAACCTTCAGGTTGCAGCTTACGAGACGAAGAAACTAGAGGCCGAAAAAACTGGCAAAAAGCTCCTTGCAAATACCATGGTCAGACCAAAAATAAATTTCCTTTCGTGTTTAGAACTGTTCACACAATCGGAAGTTATAAATAATTTTTACAGCTCAGCAGTCAACGCAAATGTTACAGCCCGGAAGTAAGTCATAATTTAAAGTTGGACAAAACTAAAGTATCAGATTGTAGAACTACGCGATTGGCGACGTTTCCAGATTACCTCTGCATTCAGTTGAAAAAATTCATGCTGAGAGAAGACTGGGTTCCAATTAAATTGGATGTATCTATCGAAATGCCCGACATTTTGGATATATCATCTTTGCGTGGCACTGGCCCACAGACCGACGAAGAACTGCTTCCGGAGCCTAAAGTTCAACCCCCTGCGCCTGTAATGGACGAAGCTGTTTTGGCGCAGTTGGCCGATATGGGTTTTCCCCCCGAGGCCTGTAAAAGAGCGGTGTTTTTCACTCATAATTCCGGGTTGGAAGCGGCCACCGCCTGGATTATGGAACACATCACGGATTCCGACTTTTCCGACCCGTTTATTCCACCCGGAACGGAGAGTTCGCAGTTTACGCCAAATGCCGATGCGTTGGCGAGTATTGTGGCGATGGGTTTCACTCATAATCAAGCAACTAAAGCTCTGAAGGCTACGGATAATAATGTGGAAAGAGCGATGGATTGGATTTTTTCGCATCAGGATGAATTGGACAATGTCGCATCGCCGCCGCCTCCTGAATTCAGAGATGGAGATGGGAGTATGTGTATTATTACATTTGTTGTATTTTTTTAATTTTTGTGTGTTGCAGAGTATAAATTGGTGGCGTTTATCTCTCATATGGGGACCTCGACAATGGTCGGCCACTATGTGGTCCATATTCTCAAAAATGGTCAATGGGTCATCTTTAATGACAATAAAGTGTCTTTGTCGGAACGTCCCCCAAAAGATTTAGGTTATATGTATTTATATCAGCGACTTTAAATAGTCAATTAATTTCTTTCTCTGATTTTGTATTTATAAATACCAAATAAATTGTCAAGAATTTTTCACAAGAGCAAGCTAATTTACTTCCCTCCCTCCCTTCATATACTTCCCTTTAAATAATATCACCGTAATCCCAATAACAGGTAAAAACTTATTTTAGTCAAGTGTTAAAAATGAAACTGACATTTAATCGCTCTAATTCTAATTTTTGTCGTTCTATTTAAAAAACCTTTTTTCAAAAAATTGGCACGACAGGAATAAATTTATCGTTAGTGCTTCAACTTGTCTGATTACTGGCCTAAAAAAGACAAGCATTTTAAAGACAAATAGATAAATAACTGTTATAAAATTTAAAGTATACAAGGTGATTCACGAGGAATAATGAGCCTGACCAAATTCTCGATGCAACCACCATTACTCTTCGCAAGTTATTTTGCGACAACTGTAATGTTGGTTGCATCGAAAATTTAGTCAGGTTCATTATTCCTCGTGAATCACCCTGTATATTACTAATTGAAAAGTTGGTACTTACTCAGCAGTAACGTTTTAACATTAAAAAATATTTACCTGGTGTATCAGTGTTTTTTTTTATTTTTCACAATAAAATATTGTGCAAAATTTTTAGTACGGGTCGATTTTTTAATTCTAAGCATTTACATTCGGACGTTTGATTACTCCATAATTAGGAGATTAGCTCAAACGCTAATCTATTATTAGACATATTAAACATTGCGAACCCGTTTACCACTCATTGATTATTCAGCAGTACACACTGAAAAATATTTTTGGTTGAGTTAACACACGTCTGCTTGTGTAATTGGCAAATTCGGTTTTAACGCTTCTTACCTGTACTAATGATGGTGCTTGCTTACTGATTCATTTCTTCCCAAGTTTGTCCTTGATGTTTAGTAAATATCTTTCGTGATTTAAATACGTCATCCCAAAATTGACTGATGAAAAGTTATGCAAAACTTTGACTCTATCCATGTATGGTCAACTTTTAATCAGAGAGGGAGGACAAACTATGAGTTACATAATATTCGGGGAAGCAGGAGCAAAGGATGAGGACTGAACACCAGTACTATAAGCAGCAGTAAGTCAAGTGGTGCTGTAAAAAGTAGGAGTGTGGTGATCGAATAGAAATAAAAAAAAACTAAAACCGAAACATTTTCGATGTGCATTCGAGGTAAACACTAAAACCACGTGAAACTGCCAGCCAACACAATAAATACATATTGAAAACATTTTTACTTTAAATTTGGCATAGTGACAATGACCATGAATCTTTTCGGTTCATATCTCGCGGTTATTGCTTTAAGTTGTGCAATTTTATACTCACAAATTGGGTTTTGCCGCCTGGGCAAATACTTATTACTGAGTTCTTTTTTACTTTTACTTCTTGAAAATAATAATAGTTTATTTACATTGTAGCAATAGTACCGTCCATAGGTTTTACCCAACTTTTATTATACAGGATGATTCAAAAGTGTCGGATCAACTCTCGAATGGCGATAGAAGACTTTAGGCTAAGCATAAAAATGAATGCAGAATTTTTTTCAAGCCTTTTTTGTTAAACAGAACTGTCAATTTTCAAATTATCATGTAGGCATTTTAGCTCTTTTGTTTCCGATATCGGATTTGATTGTCGAATTTGCTAGTTTGTTAAATATTTTGTACACCATACGTGATTTTTTTCAAAAGGTACGAATATCTGTTTAATGTTGCAACATCTGTCGTTTCCGCTAACTAAAGTCAAGAATACATGATCTGAACGGCCAAAAATTTAAAGATGTAACCTTTGAAGAAAATTGAAAAGGACTCACACAATTTTTTGTCATGGAAACTTTTAACTCAGTTGGATGTCCTTTATCATGCATGGTCCTAGACTTTTGAATCACCCAGTATATATTTCAAATGAGAAAAATCACATTAAAATTACTGACAAACAAAAAAAATAAATTCTAAAATTTAGTACAGTTGGTTGCAATAAAAACGGAAAATTAAATTTTCTTTGTCAATTTGTCGTATTCAAATATTTTTTTTGCAATGCCGAGAGCAATGTAAAATGTAAATCAAGATAATCAATTAGTTGAGTACTTACGTGAAAACTCAATGAGTAGTGAGTACTAAAGATTTAACTGTCAGTTCTAACTTAACCATTTAGAAAGAATTAAACCATGTTCAAACTGTAGATGAATATGAAAATCTGACATTTTTATGCCTTGAATTTTTCCGATTTTTTTGCAACCAAGTGTATGTAACTATTTAACTTGTTATTATACAATAGGTAAGTAATCAGCACATTCAGTTAAATTTATAAGTAATGAAAAAAATGGTTCCCTACGATTTAAAAGCTTTATAGATATCTTATTTAATAATAATGCCCAATAATAATGCGAGTTTGCACGCTATACGTACAGCTACATTAAAAAAATCTGGTGTGAACATCACACGACTTTCCTTATCCTAATTATTTGGAAAACATCTTAATAACGACTTCTTCTTCTTTGTATGGAAACGATGAACAAAAACACGATTAACCCGTCACACCAAATTTTTATTTAAAACACAACGCGTTTCAACCACAAAGTGGTCATCCTCAGGTGAGTGAGAATTTAGTGTAACCTTTGCGTTAGTGCCAACTGCCGGATTACACGCGAAATAGATCATAGTTGTCGCGGGTTCGAGTTTTTTATTATTATTATTTTATCACATTTTACTGTTTAATAAGGTATATTTCATGAGTCTAAATAATTTGTATTCCCAACAATTTAGTCTTCAATCGTATAATTTTGCTTCCGCTTTAAGGCCGTCTTTTGGTCTTTGCAGCCGAACGGTGCGACCGATTTTTACCAATTGTTTCGTGCTACGTTCCCTTGCTACAAATAACTTATATACCAAATTTCAAGTTTCTAGCTTTTATCGTTCTCGGGATATGCTGTTTACAGACAGACACACACACACACACACAGAGAGAGAGAGAGAGAGAGAGAGAGAGAGAGAGAGATACACACACTACCCAATGGCCCAAACCAACTTTTTTGGTGTCTTGAAGCTTTAATTCGTCCAGAAAGCTAGAAACTTGAAATTTGGTATATAAGTTATTTGTAGCAAGGGGACGTAGCACGAAACAATTGATAAAAATCGGTCGCACCGTTCAGCCGCAAAGGCCAAAAGTTGGCCGTAAAGCGGCCGCAAAATTATACGGTTGATGATACAATAAATTCATGGGGATACAAATTATTTAGAATCATGAAATATGCCTTATTTAATAGTAAAATGTGATAAAATAATAATAATAATGGGTACCGAAAAAAAAAAACTGCACCCCAGACTCGAACCCGCGACAACTATGATTTATTGCGCGTGTAATCTTGCAGGTGGCCCTAACGCAAATTATTGTCGTTATTAGGATGTTTTCCAAATAAGTAGGATAAGGAAAGTTGTAGCTGTACCTAAAAAACACTAACAAAACAAGAAGAATTTCATTTAGTTGGCTTTTTTAGTTGAGCCAGAATTTACATTTCTATTCATTTCAATTAGACTATTGCTTTTTTGTATACCTACCTCATCAGTAGGTAATCAGTTAATCACCAAATTTTTCAATGTTATTTCTCAATGTGTAATAAGTAAAAATACTCAGCTGTAATCCTTTTAAGTTAAAAATAATAAGTTGTATTTTAATTTATAACTATTGCGTCCGAAAAATTAATTTAATCGAATTGACGATTTTTGCTCGAACAGCTTGAATCTTTTCAAAAATTCAAACTATGCTGAACTTGAAATAGTGTTTTCCTAAAAATCAAGTACCTACTGGCATTTGACCACAATTTTTGACAATCATTAAAAACGAGACATCGGTTTTAAAAAAGTTAACCGATAGTTGGTTGATTATGTTTGAAATTCTTCGCACGTGGAGCAAAAGTGTTCAAACATTTAAGAGATGAATGTAATTAAATATTGAGCGCTTCTATTAAGAAAATTAAAATACATTTATCTATTTCTTTTGCAGCAATAAATTTACAAATACAAATTTATTTAAAGTCAAGGTTCGTTATTGAACTGCTTCAATTTAACAAATTACTGTATACAATATGTTTTAGTTGAATGGTACTGTACCCATAGATTGGTGTTCCATTGTCGAATTGATTCCGGTTTAAAGGGAAAGTGACACTGTAACATCTCCAACAAGTATGGCAAAAGATGATTTTCAAGAAAATGGATTGGAGGAAACACTTCCACTAAATACGTAAGTCTTCACAATTTTAATGAATTCCCATGTAAGCAAATTTTTAAATATTTTATCACGTACTTATGTCTTAATATTCTAATTCGCTACGCCAAATTTTGGAAAACTAACAACTAACTAACAAGGTTTTTGTTTTCTGCTTACTTTATTTTTCAAATGGGTAAATATAGTGGGATAGGTAAACCACAAAAAAAAAACAATACATAGTGATACACTGATTAAACAATTCGTTCTTTTTTATTAAAAGTTGCTGGCTTTATTTCGATAATATTTTTTCATTGTATTATACATTTTAAACATTACGCATCTGCGATAACAAAAATTCATTAAAGAAGCTAATGATCAGTTAATTATTATTGACTAAATTTCCTTTACAACTTTACATCATCAAACGCTTTATAAAATCGGTAATCGTTCATTACGCTTCTTCTATGACGCACAAAATTATTATCTCCACGTGATTCTGGATGGATAAGGATGTTTCGTTTAATTCTTCTACCAATTTAAATCAATTAAATTTAAGTAAAACTCAAAAACTGAATTGTTTTCAATAATTATGAAACAAATCAGTTTTATCGTTTGCTAATTGCAGTTTAACCCTATTTATTTGTTAATGATTTAGTTAATACAAGGTGTTTCACACAACTTTACGAGGCTTGCGCCTAATGTACGCACCCAAATATACAAAAGTCACAGTATTTTGTCTTCAACTGTACATATAGGTGTTTCAGAACACGCACCCCAGAGAAAAATTCTAATTAAGATAATATACAGTTTATTTTTTATTTGAAATGCTGGTGAGAGAATTTTACTAGGAACATAGAAAAAATGTTTTAAAAATTCTATCTTAAAAAAAATTTGACATTTTTTTGACATATGACATTTCTTTAAGTCTATTTAATATTACTGATGATCTTGTATGTTTTTTTATAATTATTTTGTAAAAGTACAAAATATTTGCCAAAACTTGAAAAATATTTTTCGAACAGAGATAAATAAAATCAAAATGCAAAATTTGGCATTTTTTTTCTGGGGCGCGAATTCTAAAACACCCCCTGTATACCTACTTCAGGCAAATCAATGCATTACACAGGCTGGATTATAAAAAACCCCTAGTCATAACTCCATTATTTTTAAACTTTGATCAAGGAAGTACCGTGAGATCAAAAACTATCTTGGACAAGGGTGTTCATGGAATAGAAAACGTCTGTCGTTGCTTATATCCTTTTAAAATAATTCTGTCAATGTTTAAGTCCATGACCACCCTTGACCAGGATAATTTTTGATCTGACGGTATTATATGTACACTTGAGTGCAAAAAAAACGCAAATTGATTTTATTCATAATGTAATTTGGCCTGTTAATAAATGCCACCTTTTTGGCGTTGTCTTTGTCACAATTCACAATTTCATAATTGTCAGGCATCTTCCAAACTGCTATCAAGTTTTTCCATTTCGTTTTTAACACTGACTATGACACTGCACTGGCAAGACCACCAAATACGACATTTCTTTTGATTGTTTTCTAAACTTTTTGGATACAACCTTTTTCACACTATGTAGATCTCTGAAAAATTTTGTTTTGACAATTTGCACTCAAGTGTATCTTTAAAAATAATGGCTTGAAGCGTTTTTATAATCTAGCCTGTATAATTATTATGTTATACATACATTGCATATAATTATTATAATAAAAACATATAATTATTACACCTCTTATCTTCTGTAGATCTATGAAATAAAAATGTTATCAAACAAAAAATTAATGCAGATCAAGAATGACTAGAACGTTTACCTTAATCTTTTAATTATTCAATCGAACACATAAAATGCATTGTCATTTTGTCAAAAGATTATTGTAAAGAAATTTTGCGACGTCATATTTTTTGCTGCCCTTGTACACGTGTTTAGCTTATCTTATTATTGCGGTGTCTTTTTTCATTTATCTTCCTTAACGTTTTCTGTAAGTTATTAATGCTGTAATTTATTAATGGTATACAGTCAACTGCATAATTTTTAGGAAAACTGGTGGTTATTGCCCTCCGAAAACAATTCCTACATAAAAAAAATAATATTACTTTTTGGAATGCTCATAATGAATAATTAATTAATTGTAATGTAGTTATTCACTAGTTAAATTAATCAACACTCAATTCCTATTTTATTGCAAAGCGTTCTGATTATTTTGGTCATTTTCTTGATACTCATTATGTTGCTCTCTTCTCTCCATTTAAATCGTTTGCGGATAGAATAGTATATGTTATTTGGAGTAAAAGTAAGTTTATGTGGCTTAGCTGAATCATTCACCTCACTTTGGCAAAATAAACGTTCAGCTTCGCTACATAAACTATCACTTTTACTCCTAATAACATAATACTATTATCTACGACTGTTAAAAATACATATTTTATCAGCTTCGGCAATGCAATATATGGAAGTAGGTAGAGCGTTGACTGCACAGTTTTACATTTTGTTTATAACTGATAAATTTATTTATCTCAATACTATGAAAAAAACTTGTTATTTTTATTTTAATTTTTAATTAGATGTTTTCGCAATGTAATAGTTTGTAACATTTTCAAAGAAGCCTAAAAACATTGTGTTTTAATTTGGTTTAGATAAAAATA